GAGGATCTGATTTGATCTGAGCGCCGCTTAGCACTGCAGTGGGAGTCTCTGTGGGCTGAGAGCCGGCCACAACCAGGACAGCGCCTGTAAGCCAGAGTTTACAGTAGATCCAGGGACCTCATGTGGAAAGAATTCACTGATCTCCGGCTCCATCTGAGCAGAGCATTGGCAGATGTGCCGAGAACCTCGCCTCTCCCAGACGTTATTATTTTCATCCTTAATCCGTTTTAGGGACCTGCAGGCACTATTTAGTCTGGCTTTTCCTGGATGTGATCACTACTGTTCCGTGCAAGATAAATACTTCCTGCTGAATGTGATGTGTAAGAGCGTAACAGTATGATGTTACTGGGGAATGCAGGTATAGAGCCAAACTGGGCGGTGTATATCGTCAGAGCCGCCGCCATAGCTCCGCCCACCACATGTGCACCATCTAAATCCGGTTCCGTCAGGTCCAGTCTGGGCCCCCATTCCCTAAATCCGGTTCCGTCAGGTCCAGTCTGGGCCCCCATTCCCTAAATCCGGTTCCATCAGGTCCAGTCTGGGCTGCCTTTCCCTCATCCAGAGGTGGCCACTTTCCACAGCCGCTCTGGAAAATATTACTGCCACTTTTCCTAAAGGAATATTTACAGCTATATGACCATCTGGGGAAAAATGTACAGCGCTGAGATTTACAGGCCGCTTAGACGCGTCCCTCCAAATGTGTGTAGAAATGGTCGTACGGAGCAGCCGGCTCCTTCAGGTCTGCTTTCCTGCCGTAAAACGTTACGGCCTCTGAGCAGGATGGTGATTAGAAACGTAGAGTGTCACGGCCGTCCAGGGACGCTGGGGCTGGAAGCGGACTCACAAGCTCCGCCGCTGTGTGTAAATATAACAGGCCGACTGCCTTATGGGTGATTCTGGGCAGTTTATTATTGTCACAGCCTGTGGAAAATGTCTGCGTCCCAAATGCATGCTAGTGTAACCTAAATTTGTAGCATTCTTTTAAGTTGTTTACCTTAAAGTGCATTTTATGCTTCTCTGGCATTTAGGCACTAATTTCATAATATAATGTATAAAACAGTGGCATGTGTGGTTATTCTGGCATCTGTGTGATGCCCTTCATCCTGGCGACCTTGAAGTGCCTGGGGGGAAGGTTAACCATCCACTATGTCTGCTTCTCGCAGGGCGTCGTCGTGAAGAACATGTCCTTCAAGGCAGGACAGACACTGAAGGTTTCAGGTGTTGCTAAGTCCGAGGCCGCAGAGTGAGTCACCGCACACGTCACTAATGACCCGCCCTAACACAGTCAACCGCCTTTACTGTGTACAGGGTGGTAATGACCCGCCCTAACACAGTCAACCACCTCTACTGTGCACAGGGTGTTAATGACCCGCCCCAACACAGTCAACCACCCTTACTGTGCACAGGGTGTTAATGACCCGCCCCAACACAGTCAACCACCTTTGCTGTGCACAGGGTGTTAATGACCCGCCCCAACACAGTCAAACACCTCTACTGTGCACAGGATGTTAATGACCCGCCTCAACAGTCAACCACCTTTACTGTGCACAGGGCATGAATGCCCCAACATGGTCAGCACCTTTCACCAACAATTTTTACCATATTATACATGGTTCCCCAGATTACTTCCTTTGTAGCAATAGCTCTCACTGTTATTAAGGTTGGCAAGCCCTGTCGTACATTTATGCAACACGCCATGCTTGCACTGGCCACTAGAGGGACCAACAAGACCTCTGACACAATTTGAACACTGATTTTCCAGTAAGTTCCAGTACCATATGCAAGTTTATCACATGTTCTGTGAAGGAAGTACTGTAGTCATTTTTGCAGCCAACAAGAGCGTTCCTGTTTTGTTCTACTAGGATAAGGATCAGTGGCATCCATTCAGAAATGACATCAGACTCCATTTGCTGATTAAAGGATTATCCTTTCTCCTGCAAAATGTCTGCCGTCAGTCTCACACGTAACCCAGCACCTGCACGTAAACCCACAGCTTTGCCATCAACATCGGCCGTGGAGAGGATGACTTTGCTCTGCACTTGAACCCGCGCTTCGACGCCCACGGGGACCAGCACACCGTCGTGTGCAACTCCTACGAGGGGGGCAGCTGGTGCGAGGAGCAGAGGATGGACAGCTTCCCGTTCCAGCAGGGCGGGCACTTTGAGGTGAGGCCCCCCCTCGGAAACCTGCCCTCTCGTCCAGTCAGGCCTGGGGTCCCACTTCTCATGTTACCCTGAAAACTGTCCCCATTTTTTCCCCTAATTTCCAGTAGTGCTTCACGTTTCTACTCTGTTAAATGCCTTTGTTTCACTCTCCTGTCTCAACGGCAGATTCTGGTCACCTTTAACAACCAAGAGTTCCAGATCTCCCTCCCTGACGGCTGTGCGATCAACTTCCCCAATCGCCTAGGTGACGATAAGTACAACTACTTCAACTTCATCGGCGACATCAAGATCCAGAGCCTTGAGATCAAGTAGCGTGGACAGGCTCGTCCGCAGACAGGCCTGCGGTCCTCCGCCTCGCCGGCTGCCTGCTGCTCACCCTCCCGTTAGAAACACACCCGCCGAGTGTGATTCGCTGTCGCATAGCCAACCAGGCCATACCGTAGGAGTGAAGCATCATGGGAAGGATAAAGGATGTCAGGCCACAGTTGAGCTTCATATGATTTGTGAGGTCTTCCCATCAGAAGATGTTATCCTTAAAATGGGGGTGTTTCTGCTTGTGGGAACCATTCCAGGTCTGTTTGTCTACCCACTCAATAAAACTGCTAATTGCTGGCTTTTGGCTCTAAACACAGCCCTGTGTCAGTGTTAATGTCTCTCTCAGTCTCTGCACTGTCTATCACAGGGTTCTTCAAATCTGGACCTCGATTCCAAATGGCCTTGTTTTCAGTTCTCCCAGTTAGTTAGTTTAATAATTACTGATTCTGATTGGTCAGAGGCTTCACACCTGACTGACAGGTAAAGGAAGGCTGGAAAACCAGCAGTGCTCGGACCTCGAGGACCGTGATTTGAATAACCCTGTTCTATCGGTTCACTCGCCATGTATCATGCAGTATCATGCCCCTCGCTTTCACCGCTCAGCCCCCACACCGGCCTGTACCAACATCCCTTCTCGGAGAGGAGTGTCACAGTCAGCCCGATGTAGCAGCACTCAACACCCACAGCGGCTCCAGGTAAAACTGAAAATGCTTTTTATAGACAGTAGAGGGCAGCATTGTTACTCTTTGTTCTTCAAAAATCCAAGATTATCAGACAACACTGCACTGGTAGATAGAAGCAGGGAGAGAGGCACAGTAACAGCAGAAATCTGTGGGTAATATCTCAAAATCACTGGTCTTAGTACATGGCATTCAAGAACAACAGAAAAAAAGCATTTCAAGCTTGCCTTTCAGATTCAAAACAAACATTTAGATGTACTTTGAGTGCAAATGGCAAAATACTTTACTATAAATGTGCCTTTGGATTTCTGTGGAATAATCCCTAGCAACCAATGTGACAGTACTCTTGGGGTGACTGGGAAGGCTTGGATCTGATTGGTTGTCGGGTGATGGAATGTGGTCCAAATATGGCTGTAGAGATGGGCGTTGTAGTCCACTTGAAAAGGAGGTGGGTACTGTAGTCCCCAGCTTGTCTGGCAGGTGAAGGCTCCTGGCTGACGGGCTACCTTTTCATCTGTGTTTGAGCAAGGATTCCACTGCAAAAGGAAGGAGGATGGGGTAATGGACACTGCCTGCATATGTACATGTGTGTCTTATTTTGGGGGGCGGGGAGGGAGGGCTGCTTACTGGCAAAGTCCTGCGGTGACATCACCGAGTTGATGACCTTGTTGAAGTGGCGCAGCCAGTCCTGCTGGTCCCCCTCGGACTCGCAGGTGAAGACGTAGCTGCGCTCGGGCGTCGTCACGGTGATGCCGTGTGACCACTCCCCGCACTCCCTGCCCTCTGGCAGCCCCGGGCTGGCGCTGTAGCCCAAGTCCTTCTGGCCGAGAAAGAGCTCCCCCTTGGCGAAGGCGTCCTGGGTGACATGTAAGGATGCAGTGGGTGTGGGCTTGGGGCAGCGGGGGCAGACAGATAACAGCAGCAGATTCCTCACCTCAGCGTGGCTGCATGGTTATAACCAATCACACTCAGTCATCTTATCTCACACTATGTTTTTTTTGGTTCCAACTTGCCAGCTACAAATGTCTGATCAGACTCAGATGACTGAGAAAAGGCTGATGACAGGAAATCAGTTCTGCACCCAGGAAGAATTTAATCACTGTGAACATCTAAGGCAAGAGCGGTATCTAAGAACAGGGCGCATTTCTCTAACTGCCGCTCTGTCTGCGTCTCAGCTGTTCCAACTTCGGCTGGCCGTTTCTCCTGCGGCGACATACGAACGCTTAGCCGTGAGGCCGGCGTTCAGGTCCCGTTGGACGCGACTTACCAGGGGATCTTTGAAATACATCAGCCGTCTGTTATCCAGCGTGAACCAGCGCTTCTTGAAGACCTCCGTCTGCTGCAGAAGGACAGAGCAGAGGGTGACACCGGGACGAGCTTATCAGCCACAACGAGATCGCTGTCCCTGCTTGACCTGCTACCTCCACCCTCTGTCAGATCAGGAAGGACCTCCAATGCACCCACGGCATCAAAGAGTCTCCATGGAAACTAAACGGGGGGAAATGGGGCTCTGGAAGCCACAATAGGGGTGATGTTCATGTGCTGCCCATCACCAATGAGCTTCCCATCGGTAACTCTGTTGGTGCCCATAGGTTTAGAGCTGCTTGGGGCGGCATTTCCACCCTCTATGGGTTTCCAAGCCTCACCCCCCCCCCCCCATCACCGACAAACACAATCTAATCTTAATGGGCCACTTCAAACGCCTGGAGCCATCTGCTTTCTTGTACACTTGGGACAAATGGAAATGAAAAGCCTATCTGGCGAGGCTGCCTGTGCTCATTACTGCGCTGTATTTTGGGACTTAACGTGGCTGCCTGACTGCCTCGTGACTGCCGGGCGTGTCAGGCCGTTCCAAACACAGCATCAAAATCTTACCCGTGGGCCAGTCTTCTCCATGAAACCCTCCTTCACGTACATCCTCATCATTCTGGTGGTGAGCTGAGGGTTGGAAACGCAGAGAATGAATGGGATTTGGGGTAAGATGGCGAGGGAGAGAGCAGGGTGGGTAAGGAACAGGAAAGAGGAAGGACACCTCTTGGTCTGGTGCCGCGGGGAACGCCAGCTTCAGCCACCTGAACTGAACGGCTCTGATGGCATTGAACCAGTCCACCATCACCTGTTGGAGTGAGACATGGTGTTCAGCTGCGGCGACCGGAACAAGGTAGGGAGAGGCTCCGTCCAGTTATGCAGCTCACCCTGCCATCTTCGTGGAACAGGAAGAGGTTGCGTGTCCTGTTGTCTTTCAGGAAGCTGATCTGCAGGCCGTTGGAGTGACCGATCTTCTCCGGCTGGAAGGTAGCGTTGATGACGTCCACCTTGATCGCCACTTTGGGCACTTTGTTCTTTGTCAGCGTGGGTGACAAGATCAGAGGAAAGGGGCAGAAGGAATGGAGATCATTAAAAAAAGAAAGTTCATCTGCATCTACAAGTTTCGGCATGAGACGTGTGTCTGAGCGAATGCTGATAAAGGTCACAGTCGGGTCATGAGGTGAATAATGGGAGGTGATAGAGGTCACAGTCGGGTCATGAGGTGAATAATGGGAGGGGATAAAGGTCACAGTCAGGTCAGAGGTGAATTATGGGAGGTGGGCTCACTCTCATAGCTTTGACTCCCCAGTCAGGTGCTAAGAGCAAATTAATCTCCAAGTAGTCAAAGCTTTTCTGTTCCCACAACACTGGAGTTGGAACAGAAGGAAATCTGTTGAGATGAGGTTCATACAGATAGCCTCAGAGTTTATCTCTAGCCAGTCCTTCTGTGTGAGGAACCTGTGACTCACATCTTCCTTTGTGTAGTACTTCAGCGTTCCCTCCTTCTCTGTGAGCACGAACCTCCGGCTCAAATACTGCCCGTTGTCCCGGCCTCTCTTCATGAGATAGCCCTCCCTCAGCTCTGCAGTGGCAAGGACCACACACACCGTCACCTGCGGCTCCCAGACCCCTCCCTCGGTGAAATCCCCCTGTCGGTAACCAGATCACGGATGAAGGGGGGCATCCGTGGGCCAGCGTGCCCCAGGCTCACCTTCCTGGTAGGTCTGCCGTTTCATGGGATCCATGAACTCCTGTCTCTCGTACTTGGCTTTGATCCACTGCTCCTTCAGGATCCTGAGAGCCGACCAACAGAGAGGCCAATCAGAGACAGAAAACAAGACCCTGATGGGCCAATCAACAGGGGGACCAGAGACAGTGAAGATGAAAGAAGGCAAAAGTGTTTATGTACAGTATATGTAAATAAGTCCGTTTATGTATAAACTGTAGTGTGGATTGAGGTTTTCGCTTGACTTGCAATTGTACACCTCCTTAGGCAGTTTACCACTCAGGGTGAAACTGGAGCATAAAGAATGTTTTCTGTGGCATCAATGAAGAGGGAAGGAGCTGCAGAGGGCAGAGTTCTGAAAACGAGGCGTAAGTACGTACGTACGTAAGTAAGTAAAATGTATTTACGAAGCACTTTTCACAGACACAAGTCATAAAGTGCTTGAAATCATACTCTGCAGGTCCATTTTGGCAGGACCAGCAAGGTCAAGTAGGATATACAGTCATATCTGTTTCAAGCAGTAGCATGGAACTAAGCTCTGCGTGAAAACACCTTTGCGACGATTAATTGTCACTAATTACAGGGGGCCATGCACTGCTATGATGTCATCAGGAGAGCCAGCCCCTCCCTTAAGCAAAACCAAACAGACTCATGCAAGTATGGAAAAGCCACAGACTCCAGAAACAAGAAGGAAAAAAGATAGAATAATATGAACCGGATGTGGCTCCATTCTGCTGAGCAGATAAATATCAGGGGGAGCAAACAGAATGCGGCGAATTCGGGATGCAGGTTCTAGGGCTGCTCTTGCGCTGTAAGTCTGATCTTGCTAAACTTCAGCTACTGTTATGCTGTCTGGAATGGCAATGAGGACATCAATGGGGTACCGTCTGTAGGAAGGGTAGGGTGACGTTTGAGATGGTGGCAAGGGGGACTGTCACTAAACTGTCAGCCACATGGTGGGGGGACGGGGCCGGGAGAAAAAGGCGAAACGGATCCAAAGCAGGAGCCACCTGCAGCGTGGGGGGGGCTCAGGTGAAGGTGCGGGCCTGGGGGAGATTGGGGGGACTCACTGGGCATCCAGGTACTTAGGCCGGTGGTAGTAGATGGGAACGGCCGTTTCATACTTCAGCTTGGCGACTTTATTCCCGTGGGCTGCCAGGAACTGAAAAAGAGGGCGGCAAGCTGTGGTTAGGTCAGCTAGGCGGCGGGGTGGGGCGGGGGGGGGGGGGGGGGGACCCCTGCACGTGTCACAATGGCACTGTCAAGTGCTGCAGCCAGTTCTTCTGGATCTAACTAAAGATGCAGGCTGTGTGTCTTCCCGCACGCCTCAAGGCAGGTACAATATTGCAGGAAAATGACTGTAAAACTGGTGGCCTAAGTGTGACATATATGCGGCAGGATGCAGACGGCTTCACAAGTTGGACATGGCGTGGGGTTTGGCCAATGACGGCACACACCTGCACTTCAGAGTCCGCCCACTTAGAATCGACCAGGGGCTTGATCTTGCTGATCTCCATGATGGTCATGTGGATCCCCGAGCAGCCGTGACAGAGAAGCACCCCCAGTGTGCAGGAGCCCCACTGCGGGTCTGAGGAGGTGCAGAGAGATGGGCAGTAAGAGCTGGGGACTTCTGCGGGTCCGGCTCAGCATCTCGGCTGGTTCTGAGTCTCCCATTTCTGATAGGACTCGCGTCCAGTTAGCTCTTAGTCTGAGCCAGGACAGCATGCTGACAGCACTGGTGTATTTCAGCAGCTGGAGAGGAAGAACATGGGGACGAGAAGACAGGCGAGCACGTTGCCGGGCGTAGGTTAGGAGGCAAACAAATGACCAAGCGAAGTGGAAGGAGGAAGATACGGAAGGGAGTCGCCGAAAATTCGGTTAATCCGGCCGGTCTGCATGTGATTCCCGTGATTCTGATCTTTCAAAAGACAATAAGCTTAGTGACAACAGAGCACGGAAATGCAGTCCGGCCGGATGGCATCGCAGGGACATCTCGCGGGCTGAAGCCGCGGTCGGTTCACGCCCCTGTGAAAGATATGCGCGTCTTTCACTCCCTGCGGCCGCTGCCTAAAGCTCCCGTTCCTCGTCGCGTTACCAGCCTCGATTTCCAGCCCATCCCCATCATCCGCTCTGACTGTGTTTGGATTAATAAACGTTCCCCTTTTCCTCCACTGGAGCTTCTGTTCTGTACTGCGGACCAGGGCGCGTCTGTACCACCTTTACCGCAGTAAATCCTCGCGCTACATTTCTTCAGTGCGAGAGGAAAGTGGTAATAATCTCCCACAATTTGATTAATCGCGCTGTTTATAAAACAATTAAAAAAAGGGGCCGTGGCACTTATTACCCAATTAATTCCGAAACTACACGTATAATTACAGTAGTTAAATATATGTTGCAATTAACCGGTAAGGCATCATCACAGAATGTTGTAGCCTACTTACTGTACGTTACAGACGTATCTTGTTAGGAAAACTGTGTCCTGTTAATTGCGAAGTGTAATTTGAAATAACGCAACCCTCATTCCATATGTTTGAAGAAAAAAAAGCAACAGCACTAATATTTATTCAATAGGCCTATCAATTCATGTGCTACGTACGGCAGTGTATCGTGTCCACCATAATAATTTGCCCACTTTCTCGAGAAAGTATAACTTTATAACGTTACAACTATATCGCAGTAACGAGATAATCTCGTTAGAACGAAATATGTAAGCAGGCCTGTCTCGTTATAACAGCCTAAGAAATGAGCTGGTTAAAACGACAAATGGCCCAGGGCGCTGCGGGGTTAAACTTTTCGCAGTTTACACAAGCGGTACAAGAAAAACCTGATCTGGGAACAATCGTGGCGCTTTATATAGCAGGTAATCTAGCCACGGTCATTATGCCCAGTTTTACAAAATTCCATTCAGAGGCGCAGTTCACCTCGTCTGCATGCATGATTATCACCAGTAAGCAAGTCATTTGTGTCACCACGCAAAACCTGTTAAGGGCTGAATCACCGGCAATGCCTATAGCTTTTCAAAATTATGCCACGTACAGTACCACATAAAAACCTGTATTCACATCCAAAACGTAGACTGCAAATAATGCTGAACATCAAACAGTAAAAGGTATAGCTTTTCACACCCGAGTCACCGGTGCCTGCGTTCGTTTATCCTGCGTTATTTTAATGACCAAAAAGAGCGAGAAAGTTTACGATATCAAGGAGCTTTTATCACCGTTATATAGGACTATAACTTCACTCACCAGGCGCCCCGCAATCTGCACATATGTCATTTCCAGGCTGCTTAAGGATACTCTTCAAAGACGGCCTTTCTGTGTCATTTTCCGTTGTCATTTTGTCACCCCCTGGACAGTAGGCTTCAGGAAAGCAGATTTTTTTCCCAGTGCACTTTACGCTACCGATCAAGACATTAGTAGATTAGAATGCGAAATAAACAAACCGGCTTCACACCTGTCACGTCTCCACCCCAGCAATAACTTCCGCTATGTTGAAATGCATCTGATGTCTTTGGAAGGAACGGAGCTGCTTAAATACTGTTCTGGATAGGCCGAACCTGACGTCCAGGAATTCAGAAGAAAGGGCTTTCGGTAAGAGACTTCTTCCGCGTGTCACTTTTATCAAATTAAAGTTAACTCGGTGCGCGCAGAAATATGAAAAATGGCTTACTCACGCCGGACAACTGTTTTGTTAATCAAAGTGTCATTCTCGTCTAAGGTTGTTAGGTGGATGACAGATACATCGGAGCTCATATTTTAGTAGGACAGAGAGTGGTAATAACAATAACAACAACTATACATCATAGCCTAGTTCTCCAAGACAATATTTCACGATACTGTTTTATTTTCACCAGTAGGTGGCGGAAAGAAACCGACCTAAGATGAAATGTCAGAAAATACATGGAGCGTTTCTCGTCTGAGTGAATATAGATTGAAAACATGTTTTATATATAATATTTATTATGTTATGAGTATAATATAGGCCTAATAAATGTTCTGAATTATTGTGCGCATCTTAATTTCTCTGTTAATTTATTGTCAGGTACTGCAAAATACGCCGAGTTATACACGTACCGGAGTGCTCGAAATGTTAGCTGTACTCGGGAGATTTTGATCGAGGTTTTAAAGTAAAACAGTAAGAGTATTTCTGTGCATTCCGTGAAAATCATTAAACCGCGCAGGGATTCCTGGGTAGACTATATGCTAACACGTGAAGTAGCTACATGTAAGGCCGCGTTGGTACCCTATAGGCCTACACCTTTGGCGCGCCCTCATGTTCGGGAGCTCTTCGCGGAAATGACCGTCACTGCTGCTATCTGATCGGCTCTCTTTTTCTCCCAGGTCCCCAATGCAATTTGCTGCAAAAAGAGTTTTCTCATGTCTTTTCCCGGGCTGTATCTGTCAACAGGAAGTATCCAAGAAAGAAATAAAACACCTCCATGATATTTCATGAAAGGTAACTGGAACCTCAGGACTGAGTAATGCCGTTTCACATTTGATCAATAAACCGAATATTTATTATCAGAATATATTCAGAATACAATACATATGTAAACCTTGCCAAGTCAGCAACATTTAATGCGTAATTTTAGCAGATCATAATTCTAGTTATGTACCTATTTCTAGATATTCCTAGATCCTTGATTAAATTTTTTCTACTTTAGCGCACGGCTTTATAGGCACGTATAGCCTATCAGTGGTTTGGAGATCCTTCCCAGTTTCCCATAAGACCCCCCAAGAGATCGGGAACAAATGAAATAGGTAACTAAAAAACGCGAATTGATACTGGGAGAAAATAGCTTTTCTTTTTGGATCTCATCTTCTTGTTGTAGGATGCAAGGCGTGGGGTAAGTGAGATGGATTGCTCTTTATTTAACATTGTGATGGTTGATTTCACGTAGACCGGCTCATCAGATCAGCATTTCAACCTCCATTTGTACAGGTCTACCTAAAAACTGCAAAAAACGCTAGCGCTCGATTTTGCCTTAAACGTCGCATAGCGCCACCACCAGGACGCGGTAAGACACTGCAATGTTAAAACAAATTTCTCACCGAGAGTGATTTAGTCTGCGCTTAGTTAAACAGATTAACATGAAGATGAATTGTTGCCCTGGACAGAGGATTAAGATCACCCTTTGTAAAATCCAGAGAATGTTTAGGAAGCCTGATTAGGATGTCTTGCATTTAGAAAGGAGACGTCAGGTGAATGATTAAGGAATTTGATACATTTGTCTGCTATGAGAAGGCCTGAACCTGCCCATTCATCCAGACGACACAATGAGATCCTGGCAGCCTCAGTGACAGGCTGCCGGGCCATTGGCTGCAGCAGTGGTGTTGCTGATTCTCTGGCCAACATGTTCTTCTTGTCCGGCCCCTTGTGGAGTGACCAAATGGGCCGCTGATTAGGGGCGGGGAGCTGTCGGAGCGCTGACCGTGTTTAGGTCTTACAAATAAGGAGCAAGTTGCCGAGACACCGCTACGAATGGACTTATCGAAATATAGACTCCCTCTGTTGTTGTCAGTTGGTACTGCAGCACTGTCTTCAAATACAAGTAATGTACACGTGGATACAATCTGTGATTCTGCAAATGCGTGTATTTCATTGAACAATGTAGAATTAAGAAATATAGGAGAGTGGATTCAGCAGTAAATGAATACACCATTGGATGATGCAGTGCCCCCAGCCAAACAGAACTGTCTGTTTAGTGAAACAGGAAAAAAGAAACACTTCACATTTTTGTGGATTTTGAGAATAGCGACATGAATCTTTTAAAATTCCTGACAATGAACAATATCTGAAACCAGACATGTGCCACTCTTATTTAATCTGATGTAACACAATGCAAGGACTGGGATTGTGGGTAATTTCATACCCAGGGAGGAGGGCAGTGGGCAGAGGAGAGAGAGGGGAGGACAGCAGAAAAAGAGGGGAGGGGAGAGTGGGGAGGAGAGAGGGGGGATGAGAGAGGGGAGCAGAGGAGAGAGAGGGGAGGACAGCAGAAAAAGAGGGGAGGAGAGAGGGGAGCAGAGGAAGAGAGAGGGGAGGAAAGGAGATGGGGGAAAAAGGGAGAGGAGGAAGAGAGAGGGGAGGACAGTGGAAGCAGGGGGGATGAGAGGGGGGAGGACAGGAGGGAGTGGGGAGGACAGTGCAGAGAGAGGAGAGGGGAGAGGAGGAAGAGAGGGGAGGACAACAAAGAGAGAGAGGAGGACAGAGGCAGAGATGAACCTAGTTGCAGTTAACAGGCGACTCATCAGTCAGACTGGCATCGACCACGCTGATCCCCTCACTGGCTTCACGCTGATCCCCTCACTGGCTGCACGCTGATCCCCTCACTGGCTGCACGCTGATCCCCTCACTGGCTGCACGCTGATCCCCTCACTGGCTGCACGCTGATCCCCTCACTGGCTGCTCTGTCGCCTAATTTATTGTCTATTGGCACCAGCTCATTTTACTCTGCCTTTATCAAACCCTGTTTTTCCCATCTTCAGTCCTCCCATCCTCCTGTTCTGTCCCCCCATCCTCTGTCCTTCCCCACCTCCCCTCTGTTTCACGCCTGCTCTTCTAGGACTCTGGTTTAGTCTGAAGCTGCTTGGAGGTGCATGAATGAAGTGCCTGTTTGCCCGGAGAGGAGCAGTCTGTGATAAGCAGCCCAATCCAGCAGAGAAGACCCCCCCCCCCCCTGCGATTTCTGTGTCACATTCCCTAGCAGTGAATCCCTATTCTGCGCTTCAGAGACAGACGGTTGGATTTCGGAGGGACTGTCTTCCCCCACATGGCCCTTGTTGGCTGAATGCGACATTGACAGGAATCAGGCGGCACTGGGGGATTATGGATAGGTAGCCCTCTGGTCCCAGGTGCGAATGGTAACAAGCTCGTCAACTGTACGGTGGCAGGGTCAAAGGTCATCTCCCGGGTGTATCAGTAGGCGACCATGGCGACAAGGTTCCTGTTCTGTCTCCCTCCCTCTCTCCCTCACCGCGTGTGCTTACACCTGTGAAGGCTCCGCTGCCCCAGGGTCCGCATGCATCCCTTACAGATATTTATAGTGCTTTCCGAGCCTCTGCCCCTGCTCCTCCGCTGATCTCTCTCTCTCTCTCTCTCTCTCTCTCTGTTACGCTATGTGTGCATGTCAGGGGCCTTATTAAAACCCGGGCTCCTCATCCCCGCTGGTCTACGACGGCAAGCTGCTCGATCCCTGGACCCCTTGAATCTTCAGCCTGGTCTGCAACCCCACAACCATCTGGGGCCGTACATGGACGAGGTCATCGGCCCTCCTGTAGGAATCCCTGCAAGTCGTTGACAAAAGACGCCTCCGCGTCCCCCATCGATCCTCGGCTGCCGATGATTAGGCAAGCGAGTAAGATGTCCGAGTAAACAAGGAGGAACCCCATTCCTGCATTAGGAGAGGAAGGACGGACAGACGGAGGAGTGAATTAAAGTGTGCCTGTGCGTATGTGCATGTGTCTGTGCGCGCACACTGCAGGGAAAGTGAGGGAATCAGTCAACGCGAGTGATTCACCTAAACTTATATAAAGTCGGTCTCTAAATATAGAAACTGCAGGGCTTCTAGAGCTGTGCCAAGACGATCGACCACATTGATACTGGAGTGGCCCCACCCTGCCCTGGTCCTTGGGAGGAAGGAGGGTCTGAGGAGAACTGCAGTGCATGCTGGGAACTCACCACGACACATGGTGGCTGTGACAGTGATGGACATCGGTAACTGTATCCCTCTCTGTGGTCAATGTCACTGCCTCCCTCTCAGACGGGTTAATGCGGGGTGCCAATCGGGGTGCAGGAAGGGAGCCCCGTCAGGAAACATAAAAGAACGCAATGTTAAGGAGGCCATGAGTCCATGTTGCATTCTCTGTGCTATAATGTTTATACCATGGCTTTTATGTTGAACTTAATTCAGTCACGCCCTTTATTTAAAGCTGCCTGGCTTGTGGGGGTCTGACACCTACAAATCCAGCAAAAACGCAGCCACAGATTGGGGGAGGGTTTGTAGAATCTCTGCTGATCTGGAGCTGTTGTACTGCGAGCAGGTGTGCATGTCTCTGCCGCTCTGCTCTGCACTCCCTGGGCTCTGCTCGCTCACAGCTCTCCCGGCGGAGAGAAGCTGACAGCCTGGCGCAAGGAAAGGAGCTCGGCGCACAAGCTTCATGAAACATTACGGGCAGACAGGCCTGGTCCGCGGAAGATCGATACCGCCAATTGTTGTAAGAGAATTATACTGTTAGCGGAAGAGCGACGAGCATCTATTTACTCACTCGTATAAACCCAGCGGGGAATTCTGAGTCCCGATGCGTTCACCTAAAGGAAAAAGACTGTGCTGAAGAATTGGGAAGTTAACATGCAGAGCTAGACCCTAGCAGGAGAGTAAAAGTCGCCTGTCGGAACTACGGTGTGTGCAGCCAAGGTGATCGTAGCGGTTAAGCGCTATTTGATATCTGTCCGTTTTCTTACGCTGGAAAAACGTCTGACGGGCGATCGATGATCTTCCAGGGAGCAGCCGACAGAATCCGCAGGACCGGAAACCCAAACCCGAAAGGCGGCTCTTGACCCTGCGCCTTCTGATCTTCCTGCGCTCAGGAAAATTTCTGATTAAAATATTTATGATCCACCTGTGTCGAAAGACATTTAAAAATGATTTTTATGCGCTGGGAGAGCTGTGAGAGCAAGCGGTGCCATTTTCGATGTAATTCGAAAAAGATCAGTAGAGCTGATATACATGGCTACAAATGTGATAACGTATTTAATCCGGGGACTTTGTTAACAGAAACCTATTAGAACTGAATTTCAAGTGGCAAGGTCAGTTTTACAGGCGATGCTCATTTAGCTGTGAGATGTCACATTGCATCAGTTTTACTCTTTTACATCAACAGAAAGATCATCGACGCTTGGTGATTCAACACTGCGGCCCTAATTACGCCGTAGATAGCATTTAGGGTGCCTGTGGAATGTTCTGGAAGGGAGGTTACATTTGTGGGTCCTCCCCGCCGGGCTCTGTCGGTGACAGTCATTCAGCTGGCTGCCTTTCCGTGCCCGAACACCCTGCTTCCCCCTTCCTTCTGAGTGTGTTCACACCTGCGGGTATTTTTGACAGATCTCTGCATCCGAGACTCCTCTGCCCCCTTCCCAAGGTTACGAGGAACTCCTGCCAAATTCTCACCCGCCACGTCTCCAGCGCAGCTCACGTGTGACCTTCTTCGCTGGAATCGGACTCGAGCCATTGAAACCAAAAAAGTTTGCGCCCAAAGCTAATGATGGCAGCGCTTTGGGGCACCCTACATTTCTGGAGATGTTATGGCACAATCTCACAGGCTACCCAGAAAGAGGTAAACGCCCCCAGCCGGCAGATCCCCTGAGAGCGACCAGGAGGCTACATTTTAACGGTGTGAAGTGTTTGTGCATATTAATTGAATCATGTACTAATGTTCTAAAGTACTTTGGGACACATTTCTTTTACGCCTAGAAGAAAATCTCCGCCTAATACAGCATTAACGACAGTGCATCGCAGGTAAACAAACAGCACAACAAAACAATCAACGTAACAACACGTCTCTGAAAGCCGCCGAGGCCTCCCGTCCCTTCGTATTCAAATCCGCTGTGCTTCTATAGGAACAGATGTGCACCTTTTAAAATTTGGGTATCTGTGATTTCTGCGCTTAATTGCACATAAAAGGTCATCAGGCTTTTACAAAAGGCGCGGGGAGAACACAGGTTGTCACACAGCGGTGACACAAAGCAGTCCCTTAAAAAGAGCTTCAAAGCTGTCCATTGGCACCCAGTGTCCAATCCACCACAGGCATTGTGGGTATTCCCGGGGGCTAATGCCTCACATGAGCCACCTGTCACATGAAATGAAGTGTGCAGGACCAGACTCCAGTAATAGTACACTTCTGGAATGTTCTCTTTGTCACACTAGATCACTTTTTGGGGACATTTTTCCAGGACCAATTCGGTTGGGCAGTATATAGCTGGTTGTACAAATAAAAATAACAGATTTTTGTGGACAGATTGGCAATAGTCTTTAGTGGAGTTCTTAGTTTGTTTGATAGTTTTCCTTCTGATTTCCTTTAATATCCCAGGGTTTTTCAGGCGTTAACTCCAGTCTGTGGGATTAGGCCAGCAAATTTGCCTGATCAAACCGAGGGCAAATCCACAGCATGCCTTCGCTAGTCCTGCAGATTTATGGCTGCATGTCTCCTTTTTGGCGTATAATTCGGACAGGACACTGTAAGTCCCGAAAAACCGACGTTATACATTAACGTCATGGAGCAAGAATGATTGTGGAAAAGGATACAGAAGTAACATAGCCTTCATTGTTTCAAAATCCTGTAAAATGACATGGACAGCGAGCCTCTAAGCCAATGTCTTCGTACGGCTCTTTTTCTATTTAAAATTGCCCTTCTCCCGCTTTTTTTTCGCCTCCCGGATAGCGCTGCGTGTATGAGATTATGCTTGGTTTTAATATATGTGCCCTGGGGAGGGGGGGGGGGAGGGTAGTATTGTAGATTCATTTTTAAAAGGAGACACAGGAAAGTCGAATCAGGAAGCCTTTGCAACACAAAAATCTGTGTGCAGTAATGTAATGCCCAGATTCTTCACATTTTTGAAGAAAAATATTATTTTTAAATTATGTACAGCAGTAAAGACGCATGCTCATTCACTCCGGCTTTATCAACCATAAAAGCTTATGTGGTTTTTCTACGAAATGCACGTTAACTGCTGGCAGAAAATTGCATATTTTTATATATTTGGTACACTAATGTATTTACGTGGAAGTATCTGATAGTTCTTCCGTATTTATTAGACTATAAATGTCACACAGACGTGGAAAATAGATTCGGAATTTATGCTGATAACAGAGATTAATTACCGTATCCGAAAGACCTACTGTACTCAATACTAATGCGAAACTGAAAATAAACTAAAATTACTTGAGTCATCAAAATTGAATAATTATAAGCGCGACTAACATGTATAGCGAGCGAGAGAATGTATGATCGCTCCTTATCGGCTGCAAAACAATTACGGCTTTGAGATGTTTGCATTGTTAATTAAAGAATACACATATATTCAATATACAAATACTGCTGCAATGCATGTATGAGAATCTTCTCGACAGTGCCTGATTTCAAAAGTAATGGAATAAAATCTGCAATTGCAATTGCGTTGTGCGTCTTCAGATGCACATTTTGCATGTGGATCATTATGAAATCGTTTCAGCCTCCTCCGTCTACTTTTCTTACTGTATGATATGCCTTCTTGTGCCCGACTTTCTCGTATGCAGTTGCCCGCTATAGCACAGCGTTGTGCATGTCGATGCAAGGCTGAGCTGATGCTGTATGGAGGAATTTCACTTTGATGAAGGCGCCTCCTATCCTTATTTAAACAGTACTTGTTAAAACCTCCGTAGGCGCCCCGTGCGTCTGCATCTGCGGCCAAGGCGCCGGTACAAGACGGAGCAGATGCGCCATGCGCGCCTCTTAGAAGCTGATTTTCCTGGTTGATCCTTTAAAAAAACTCATCCGGAGCCTGTCAAGCAGATCGCCTCGTAGAAACGGAGCTTGAAAAGAGTCATAAGGGATTCCTGTTACTGAAATCCTGTACTGACACCGAAAGGGACCCGATCTGTCATTCACTCTGTTCACTATGGTTTAAGACACAGGTGAGAGATGGACGCGCTTTTAAACTCTGCTATCAGATGCGTCTTTCTAGCCTATGTGGATGCCTGCTTCCTTAAGACGTGTCTCTATGCTCTGTACAGCAAGTATGAAAAGAGCACCGAAATCGCCGCTGAAAAATAAGAATCCGGGACCTAAAAGAATCGAGGGAAGGGATTTTGGCATATAAGGATTTATACGTGGTACTGACAGATCTGTGGATGAGAAGGAATACGTTCTTCAGGCTTTTTTTCCTCCGAGGATTCATGAATGCATTAATAAATGAACACTGTCACTATGTATCATATCACTAATAACCGGAGACTACTGAAAAGAAACACAATACCATTACCGCGTCTGCGCACTTGTTCAGCCGTGGAAATGTAACAGCGGCTGTACCAGAAAAGCCTTTCTGGATAGATGATTTCGGTATTTTGAGAATATCTAAAAAGTACCGATTTGCACATTTTTCATACACCATGTTCCTAGGATTTATATGAAGCGAGGTTTTATTTTTAAAGCCAACACCTGTGAAGCTATAATCTCCGTAAAATGGAGGTACGGCTGAATTAGATGACTTGTTTAGATAAAGGTGTTTCATATCGCCTAGGTTTTATTAGGGAGAAACTTGCATATCAGTCGGCGTTAATGCTTTTGGAACAAAACCACCATCTTTTGGAGACGGTGCTTGTGCAACAACTTGGATAAATCATCCTTTTGACTAAAACTGTCGGCACTTTTGGCACAAATGTACAGATAGAGAAAAATACCTTAAAATGCATCTTTTCATGAGACATACGGATGGACATGGTGTATGGCGAAGGAGTTGCCAAGGCTGCAGTGTGACAGAATCGCAAGCTTGATTTCAAAACGGTCAGAAACAGCGTTTTATGGGGAAAATGAACCAAAATTTTTATGCAACACAATACTTATTCTCAGTTTTATTTAGTTTTTGTCCGGCATGAGGCAAATGGATTCAATGGTTCGTTTTTGATTGGATATCGACTTGAAATCAAGAGAAACGCTGATTTTATCTCCCCCCGTTTCTCCGAGCACACCTTTCTTTGATGCCAGGCGAGGTGAGTGATTTTTACTTTTTCGTGAACCTTTAAAAGTTGGTAAGGTGCCCTTGGAAAACTGGTCTTGTTTCCCCAGCGTAAAATTCAGAGGAAAGTGAACACGATACCGTGGGATCCTCTTTGAATTAAGAAGGTAAACTTCATTTTTAATCGTCACCAAAACCCGAAGACTTTCGAGTGAACGCGATTTAATTAATCTGATTTATAGCAGAAACGGCAGCTGGGACGACATCCTTTCCTGATAATGAACTGGATAAGCAGGTGAGAGCCGCGGTACTCCGCGCTCCCGGAGGAGCAGCGGCGGCAGCTGCCCTACTGCGTGTGAACGGCTTACGTTTCTGCTTCAATAACATCATTAGCGTATTTCCATATATTTTAATATAGACGTATATGTTGAGTTCTCCTTATTCCCATTGCGTTATTGCTAATCCATTATTCTCATTGCGTTACTGTCATTGCATTATTGTCAACGCACAAACCCCTCGAGCGGGCGCCCGATCGCGCCTCTGACGGAATTTCTCGGCGGCATCTGTTTGCTCCGCGAAGCCATTATAGCGGCTGTCGGAATAACTGCCGTTCGGGGCTATTTAATATACTGGAGGTCATCTACTGACGTCTAACTCAAATATGCGGAGTTAATATGTGCAGCCGCTCAGCTGAATAGTATATAAGTAATAAAATGATTTTCTGAATCATGAGTGCAGAAAAGACGGTCTATATATCTACATAGTTCAAACTGACGTATATACACACCGTAAAGAGTTCATTAAGGTTGTATTTCACGATTTAATCATACGTGTCACTGAATCATAGTGAGCCACCTGCTGACTTGATTTACACGAGTGTGTTAAAGACCGTAACCGTACAGACAGGATGGCCAATCTTGCTGTGGCCCTTGTGGTCAGACCATTTCCTCACCTACTCATGCAGTGGCTGAGCGCTGTGTCATGCGAAGGGACGCCTTGCTGTTCATAGGCATAGTTTGCGTGGTATCATAATATAAGGGCCCTGTAAAACAGCAGGGAATAGTCCAGATGTCAGTGAGAAAGTGCTTATCTGCAGGGCTTTGATGAGAGATGTGTAAGCTTGCACCTCCACACTCTTTTATAGACTGAGGCGATATTTGACTTGTGATCAATGAATGTTATCCAGGGAGAACATGAGACTGTTTCTGTCCCGATTCGTCTTATTTCATGCCCAGATTCTGATTTTAGTTTCTCAAAAGGATGTTTAAAAACACAAGACCTCCGGTTTTAATTGAGGAGTGTGGCCCTTAGATATTTTAATTTAGTATTTGTTTTTTGTGAAAACGGAAGGCCGTCCCTTAAAACTCGCAGTACGTATGTGTGCGTGTACATACATACAGCGTGTCTGACTTTTCTCTGGATCTCCTCTCATTCCGCCGTTCACTGGCCTGGTAGTCTTGAGTTTTACTGAGTGGGCATTTCTCTCCCGGGAGGTGATGAGCGACCTCGACGGAGACTGAGATGCCAGCGTGGTTATCAGTTATCCAGCAAGCCCCAGCAGGCTGAGGAAACTTCCGGAAGTGAGGTTTCTCCCCGTGATGAAGTGCTGATGTTTGAAACTCTTCGCCGTGATTTGCTGCATGCTCCCAGGCTGCAGTCTTCACATGAAGGGAAACAGACTGTAGCATCAGTCGATGAGCCATAAATACGCCAGATAAATGCGCCGTCCCCCCGCCCGTCTGCGCCATTGTCACTCTGGCCTTGTTCTGGCTGCGTTACTGACTTGTCACGGATCCCAGATATTATTTCCACCATGCAAATATTTGCTTTGCCCGTGACACCCGTTACCGTATGTTACCACATCCCATGGCTGAGTTAGTTCTCGAGGAGAGATGATCAGTCAGGCTAACAAAGCTAATCGACGGCTCCCCCTCCCCCGGACCCATGTGCAGCCTTTCCCACATGAGGCTCGGCCTGACGCTCCCCAGCGGGGGCCCCTCCCCCGGCTGTGGGGATCACTCTTCCTTTAACGTCACTCCCCCCTTGTGTGTCGCTTATGGTCGCTTTCAGAGGCGAGACTGGCATGTCGCTCTGGTGGGAGGCTGAGTGCTGGCTCATAACCAGCCTCATCTGCGCTTTTATTCACCGCAATGGACGTCAGACGCCATCTCCGGCGAGCCGGCGCGTCCTCGTCACCCAGCTACATGACCCGCTCTTTGTGTCATATTATGAGGTGTGATACAGCACACACACACACACACACACGCATGCTGGTGGTGCCTCTCATGGCCATGCTATTCGAACCCTCGCATGTTCCCATGTGCCTAATCCTGGCCCCTGTGCCACAGCTGCATGCGCCCATGGTGGACGCAGGAAAAAATGCGCCGTGTTGCTGCCTTGCTACTGCCGCATGACTCAGAGCTGCGAGTAGCTGCGAGTTCAGGCCCCATGGATCCTGCTGCGGCGGGGTGGATCAAATGGTGATGCCACGCCCCCCTGGGGGCTCTGTGTCTGACACGGGGGGTTACTTTTTAAGGCCTTTGTGGCTGGGCTAGTGGGAGCTACAGGACTCCAGGTACAAGGTGGAGGTGTTAGGGTCCCTCAGCTAAGAGGATCGCAGGAAAGCATGGCCTGCTGGGGTCGCCATGTGGCAGGTAACATGAAGGACAAACTGCTGTGTGGCCAGCAGAGGGCGCTCCACAGCGGTGCCCCACTGCCATTCTGCATCCCAACTGCTGCTCAGACCCCGCGAGTCCCGTGTGAGACAGTCCCTGGGAGCTGCATGGTTAAGACGGCTGGAGAGGGAGCAGATAATCGGACCGGGATGCTGTGGGAAGCTTGATCCATTTAACTATGTGGCACCCCCATAAGACACAGGAGGGGAGCTGGGGGGGGGCACACTGATAACAGCACAAGAGGCAAGTGTAAATTCAAGTGTGCCGGTGTGTCTGTGGGAATTGTGGCTAATCCAGCGACTTCGGTACTCGGTGAGTAACGGCAGGAATCGTGGCTAATCCAGCAGCTTTGTTACTCTATGAGTAACAGTTGGAATCGTGGCTAATCCTGCAGCTTTATTACTCAGTGAGTAATGGTCAGGAATGGTGCTTAATCCAGTTTTGTTACTCCATGAGTAACGGTAGGAATCGTGGCTAATCCAGCAACTTTGTTACTCGGCGAGTAACGTTCGGGAATGGTGGCTAATCCATCAGATTTGTTACTCAGCGAGTAATGGTCAGGAATGGTGGCTAATCCAGCTTTTTACTCCATGAGTAATGGTAGGAATCGTGGCTAATCCAGTAACTTTGTTACTCGGCGAGTAACGGTCAGGATTGGTGGCTAATCCAGCAGCTTTGTTACGCAGCGAGTAATGGTCAGGAATGGTGGCTAATCCATCTTTGTTACTCCATGAGTAACGGTCGTGAATGGTGGCTAATCTAGCAGCTTTGTTACTCGGTGAGTAATGGGGTGTACACTAGTCAGTACCGTTTAGCATGTGGCCCTGCACATACCAGCACGCTGCAGCCTCATGGGGGCGTCGCTCCCCACCAACCCACCACGCCTGGCAGGTTTAACATTTCCTTTCAGCACCGTCACAGAGATGCCAGTGTCAGTCCCAGACGTGAAGGGAATTCTGCCTCTAATTCCCACAAGGGGTGGAGATGTTTCCTGCCATCCATCCGGGATGATATCAACCTGGGAAGAGAAGCCCTCATTGAAATACCTCAGCGTGTAGCAGAGGGCTGAAGGGAGGGGGCGTAGCAGGACGCACAGCTCAGGAGAAGTGCTCCGCACCGCCAGGTCCTTCACTGACAGATGTCTCTGCAAGTGGGCAAGGTGATTCAGCCTAGTGTCGGAAAAAATGACTCCAAAAAGCCCCTAGGGGGCGGGATTTCTGTGGGCTGTCACCCACTCACAGGTCCAGTCACTGCTGCAGGCTTGCTAGCTTCGCCCTGCTTTGAACCCTGTGCATCCCCATCATTATTCTCGCCGTCCCATTGGCTAAATGAAATGGCGGAACCCCATCCAGGCATCAATCTAACACTGATAGGTGGGATCGTGGCCAGCTGTCAATCATCAGTGAGTCTGCCCTCATTGGCTGTTTCCTCACTGTCTTTGGCACCCTTCCCCTGCCCCGCCCTGCTGCGCACGCACACACACACACACACACACACACACACAGCGGTTCAGCGTGACGCCCGCTGCAGGAGCCCCATCTCCGTCTCCAGCCGCTTTCCCAGCGTGACTTTAAACACGGCTCCGCGTGCCAGAGACTGATCACGACAGGAGGCGCAGCGCCCCGGGCAGGTGTCAGAGCCGGCTGACGTGTCACGCTGGAGCACCTTTGAGGAAGCGCGGAGAGGAGGCCCAGTGACGGGCACCGCCAAATGCGGCACGTAAACAGCCGCGGCTCCAGGGCAATGGGCCACGGCACTGAAGGACATACCAGCCGCTGTCTTTGTTAGACAGTCACTGTAAAGTCCACTCGGCGCTGACATAAGTACAGACGCTCTTATTCCTCATGATCTGAATGGACAGCAGTCAGAAGAGAGCACAGCTTCCTGTCTCCGTCTGCGACGTCTTGCAAACACCTGACCTGGTGCTGGAACAAAGGGATCCGTGTTGCTCATGTGTGACTCAGCTTGACTCCAGCAGTAACACCAGCTCCATGATCTGTCTCCACCCCCCCACCAAGGAAAGTCTGTTCGCTTTGAAAAATGTAAAAAAAAAATTTAAAAGTCATTAGCAGCCTTTAATGCTGCAATCTGATTGGCTTATTTGTTCTATTAAAAATCCAGCACCTATTTCCTATTCACACATATCAAATATCTCTGCCTACTATATACAGAGCTCTGGTATGACAGAGAGCTTTAGGCATGGTGTCCGTGTGCCAGAATGGGGCAAGGTCCCCCCTCTGCCATATAGTCCCCATGTTTGCTGTCACGGGCCACTTGTGTCAGTGTCCGTATTAAAAAGCCAGAGCTTTGATTCGCCGGCAAACAGTGGTCATGAAGTCGGCACGCCTCTCCCCCGGGA